CGTGCGCTAATCCCATAACCCGTAAACGCAAATGAGTAAGCATGGTCAAATCATTCACTGTCAGCTTTCGTGCCATGGAATGCGATGAGCATGTCCTTTTTTATTTTGCCCGTAGTCGGGGCTCAGTCCTCACACCATCCTCCAACCATAACTGGACAGCTACTGTATGTTGGTCGCGATGACCCCAACCACGTCAAGTTTACATTGCATTTAGTCATTCGTTTCGTTTGGTTCGGTTCGCTTTTATGTCATTTCATTCCACTACTTGTTTTTCTTATTTTACAAAATATTTTTCATTTTATTTATTTATTTTTTTTCTTTTACTAGTACTCCTTTTTTGCATCTGTCATTCCGGCTTAAGATAAGCGACAACTTTAAGCAAAAGGATTGCTCTGGGTGTTCGGTTGCTCAGTGCAGTGTATATGTATTTCCATGCGACTTGCACCACTGACCGTCACCTCTCCAGCCCCCACCTTTCCACCGATCCATCTTTTGAAAGGATTGAATTCAGTATCTGGCGTTCCTCCTGCTCAATGCAACGATGCTTAGCATTTTTCACTTTCTGGGTTTGGTGTGATATTTTATATAAAGTAAAGTGTTGAAAGGCGATGAGTGCGACTGCGACGGCGACGGCGCTGACGGTGACGGTGACGAAGGCGAAGACATGACAAATTCTAAAATAGAAATTCTTTTGCAAGATTCCTGAAATTGTTTATGGGTATGTTCATATGTATGTATGTATGTGTGTGTGTGTACGTTTTTTTTAGTTTTGTCCTAGAATAGAGTTCACTGCTGCCTTACAGCAAAAGATAAAGAATTTAAATTAAAAGGATATTTGACAGCATTGTCAATTTTGTCTCGTGTATCGCCTCAACTTCCAGCTACTAGTTAGTTGCCTGCTTTGGCGCGCTTTGCTGCTGAGCTGCTTGCCTGCAGCCGACGATGCTGTCCAAATGCGCGCAAGTCCTGTCAACACCTCGATGTTGATCCAGTTTCAGTGCAGCTACAAACTTTTTGCAATAAACTTGGTTCTTTTTATATATTTTTTTAAATATATATGTATGTACATATATATTAAAATTGCTCATTTGGAGCAGTTAAGAGTTTTGAAAGCTCAACATTTTTGAGGGAAGTTACGTTCATACATATACATATGTATATGGGGCATGTTGAGGAGAAAAAGTGTATAGTTGTATCAGTTGATCCTTTTCCACAAATATGAACTAGTAAGTTGTAGTTTACATTCAGAAATATGTATGTACATTAGGGTGGTCCAAAAAAACGCATGTGAAAAAGTAAATTAATTTTGAAATCAAAAAATTTTTATAGAGGTTGCTCAAAGCGCCCAAAGATTTCCAAGTATTTTATGTGGGCAAAAAACAACTTTTCGTAGAAATGGTATAGAATAGTTAAAAATCAATATTTTTCTACCAGAAAATTCTGTTTATCTGCAGGAGATTCCCAATAATAATACCCAATTCTTTATTTAACCATTTGTTCATCGCCACTATAATTTATAGGTCCGCCAAAAACCCACAAATACCCCGAAAAATGCAATGGGGCGACCAATAAAAAAATGGTTAGTATTAAAAAATTGTTAAATAAACAATTGGGTATTATAATTGAAAGTCTCCTGAAGAGAACCAGAGTTTTCCGATCGAAAAATATTGATTCTCAAGAATTCTATACCATTTCTATGAAAAATTGTATTTTTCCCATATAAACATACATGCAGAACTTTGAGCGACCTCTAAATATTTTTTGATTTCAAAATACAAAAATAGGGGTCTACTTTTTTCGATATAGAACAATCCTAGTGGGTGAGAGCATTACAATTCCGACTTTACTGTTTTTTGACCACCCTAATGTACATATGTAGTTCACCTATTTGGCTGAAAACAATTTGTGTAGAAAATATTTCCCGCAAGTAAGACTGGACTGAATAAACGACTGATGAATCAAACTTTAGCCGCCATCGATACGCCAACAGTTAACAAGTGGCGAAACTAACGAGATCAATGAGGTGAAACCAAACTCACCATCGTTTATCGCTACTTGCTAACTTTGTTGCTGCTCTCACATACATACATACATACAAAATTTTTCGTTAAGCGGACGGAACTCAAATATGTATAGCAAGCAGAGAGGTAACGCATCGTAGGCGGCTATTACAATTATTTCCGTATGTTCGTCCATCATAAATTGACGAGGTGATTCTTTGGTAGCTAGTAAGAGAGATGGAGATAAATATTTCCTGGAAATTTATGAAACTTTGGATATTAGAGGCTTTGAAACCGTCTTCCAAAATAACAGTCAAATTAAAAAAAAAAATAGAAAGAGGTTTCGATATATCGTAAAAAGGCATGGAAGGATTAAAATATATATGGAATTTTTCGCACACACTCTATTTGCCTTTCACCTATAAAACCATTTTCAGCACTGAAAATTTGCATGGGTTTTTTGTTGTAAACAGGCACGGCACAGTAGGCCAGAACACTGAAAAAGTGGCCAACATTTTTTGCATGTGAAATAAATAAATAAAAATATTTTTGTGGTATAGCTTATTATCCAAGGTATACAAATAGCAGGTGTCCAGAAATTGTAAAAAAAATCCGGGAAGACTCGTTTTTTGGATTTTTTGAAATTTTAACAGCTTTAAACGTAATAACAATCCGACGGATTTGTTCTACTTTTTCCCATTCTCTTTGATATTTTCTGTAGAAAGCTTCTGGAAAAAATTTTTAAAGCAGGGTTGCCAGGTATATTAAAATTTACAATTATTCAAATACTCCACAGCATAAGTACTTCAATTTCTGTGGTGAAAAAAAAAACCGTTTGAAGAGGAGAAAAAATAGATATTTTGGAGTGGCGTAACAATTACGTGTATTGAATAAATGTAAGCTTATTTAATATCACAAAATGGGTATCATTAGGAAGGCGTTTGAACAGGTTTCAACATTAACATGTTGCTTATCTATAAAATAAGAAGTAAGATATTATTTTGATTATTTAATTTATATTATTTAAAGAAATAAAAATATGAATTGTATTTAAAAGAAAATTAAGGATTGGCTTCTATGTATTTTTTTAACAAATGATTTAATTTGATAAATTGATAAATGTATTTTAAGAAGTCTTTCAAAATTTTTCCTGTTATTAGCCTACAAATTGCCACACTTGCAGTATCCAGGGCCTGCCACGAGCAGGTTCCAGGAATAAAGCACCCCGCATTTTTTTTTTTAATTTTCAAAACTTTTTATTTTTATTTTTTTTTTAATTTTAACTATTTTTTTTAATATTTTTAATAATTTTATTAATTCTTATGTATTCTTCATCATCGTTACAATCTTGTGTAAATAGAAACATTGACAGTTTAATACAGTTCAGATGATTTTTTTGGAAAAAATTATAGCTGTTTTTTTTTTGTCAAAAAATGCCGTACTAAATTAAAATGGTTTTAAATCAATCAAAGTTTAAAATATGCATAAACAACATGCATTTATTTTAAAATATGCGCAAAAAAATAAGTAAAAACAGGCACTTTTTACAAAATATGCAAACATATGCGTTTACGGTTGAATGCCATTTTAAAGGAAATCTAATGATTCGTGCAGATAACTTAATAATTTCCATTTGAAGAAACACAATAAAAACATGCATTTGCATGCGATTCATAGCCCTATTTAGTTGTGTGAAATATATGAATAGAAAGGAAGATTACCCATACGCCGTGTATAGCATGAACAAAAGACACGAGATCACGCACGAGATCTTACGAACATATTAAAATGTTTCAATTATCATAAAATTTTGTTTTCGCATACTTCAAAGTATCTACATTATTTAAGTTTATTATTTTAAAATTTAAAATAATATTAGTTGTTGACCACGTTTTCCGTCTTCTGGCCCACTGTGCACTGGCGTTAACTGATTCCAGTAAAAAGTCCCAGTAACTGGAAGGTAGGTCTAATAAAACTGGACAGTACAACTTGCATAGTGTAGACGACCAATTCAATGGCATATCGGTGCTTTCAGAGCCTCCCACGGTGAATTGATATTTCTGGGCTTTACATATAGGAGAGTGGCGATGTTTTTTTCACATTCAACATTATTCATCAGTTAATCAGAGATATGTATCACAATGTCAAACGAAAGATTATTTTAGTTTCAAAATATTTTTGAAGAGGGTTGCCACATGTTTTAAGAGTCGATTTTAGTTAACTAATAGACAAGTTATATGAAATGTTAAAAAAGAGTGTCTGGCCAATTCGTCGGAGTATTTTTTTTGTTTTTTTTTTTTTTATTTATGTTACCGCATAACTTTGGACCTCGTTAACCGATTTCTATAATTCTGGTACTCTGAAATTTTCATATGGGAATTAAAGTCGGTTTTGCCTTTTGCTTAAAAATTACTCATTATTTTTTCTCGTAATATTCCTACTGTAAACAAAAAAAAAAAAACTTGTGCAATGAAGAATTTATTATTTCGGTCATATTATATACCGTAAACTTACTGAACAATGACACGAAAAAGCTCTGGTAAATTTTATTCATGCCAATTTCGGATGTTCAGTACGTACATATGTATATAACTACAATAAAAGCAACAACATATTGTGACGTCATTATTCACATCTATGTGTGTATGTATGTATGTATGTATGTATATGACGAGCTTGGAGAACTTTCCGTAAATACACACTAACACTGTGTCCAGCGTAAACACAGGCACGATTTTGCGATGCGTGCGAGCAACGTACTACCCGCAAAATCGTGCGTGGAATGCTGTAAGTGTACAATTACAACGCGATTATACTTATTGTAACTTATTATTCGGCGTGAAATGGCTTCGTATGCGGCAGTTAAAATATTTTTATTCGAAAACAGTTTATTGACATTACTTTTCTAACTTTGTGGTAATTAAAACACAAATAGTAAAAGTTTTTTTTTTGTAAAGTTTATTTTTGCAGTGGTTCATTTACATTTTGAAATGTACATACACCTTACACGAAGCTGACGAATCGGATCCAACTTTTTCATGAATGGAAGAAGCGACCTCAAAAAGAGTGAATTTTCATCTTCTGATGCTTCGAGTAAAGCTAGCTGTTTGGTTTCGATATCTAAAAGCCTAAGCTCAACGGCATTTCCATCTTGATGTTTGTCCTTTCTCTTTCGACGAACAGACAAAGACCTGAATGAAGGGCATGTTTCAACGAAAGTTAGTTCGGAGTTCTTTACTTCGGAATTTGACACTTCATTATCTGTTTTAGTAGCATTAGTATTTTTTGCCACTATTTCAGCATTTGCCACATTATTATCGGCTTCAGTTGCTGTAGTTGAATCTTCAAGCACCACCGACAAATTTCTAGCTGTTTCTCTTGGGAGAATTGTATCTCTAAGGAAAAGCAGGCTTTTGAAATACCGCCACCTCCCAGTATATATAGTTGCTTGGTCTTGTGTGTCGCCCGATTTGCCTTTTGGAATTTTTTTCAATTCCTTACTGAACTGGTCTCGCAAATTTCGCCACTTCTTTTTAGCATCTTGCTCTGAAAAAAAAAAAAAATTTAGATAAATTGTTTTCTCATTCAGGATATTGAAGTCATCAGTTGATTCTATAGTTAAAGAGGCTTGCAAGGACATTTGCGAAGCGATTCAAAAGATATGTGCCAATCATCGAACATTTTGAAAGGGTGTCAAAAGATTATTTTCAAAAGTGAAATTTTCCCAATTCTTTGGGAGGTATCGGTATAGAATTCTCGAAAACCATAAGTTTTTGATCGGAAAACTCTGTTTTTATTCAAAAGATTCCCAGTAATAATACCCAATTACACTGGTCTACAAATTTCAACTTTTTTTCTGCGAATAAGACGGGACCTGGTGTTTCTGAACGGATTTTTCGTGCTGAACACGAATCCGGGGTCAAAAATGTCCCATCACGTCACGTTAGGGGTTGAAACCCCTAAAAACAGCGTTTTTGGCCATTTTCGAAAAATTATAGAGCTGAACCCTGACGTGGTACAAATTTTGCATATATCAGAAATTAAAGGCTAAACCGTGCCCTTTCGAATGAGCGAATTGATCGCGTGCACCCTTAAAGCAGGGGGTGTATTTGTGTTTAGGGGTGCAGGAAAAATTGATCACAGAAAGAATTTAATCTTAAACGATCATAGAAAATTAATAATGCCAAGGTTTTAACTATATTAAAAGTCGCTGATTACGAATCTGCAGTTAGATTTTAAAAATTTAAGATGACGGGTCGAATATGGTGGATATAAAAATTGGACTCCTAGACACAAATACACCCCCTGATCTAAGGGTGCATGCGATTAATTCGGCATAGGGCTCATTCGAAAGGGCACGATTTAGCCTTTAATTTCTGACATATACAAAGTTTGTAGCACGTCAGGGTTCAGCTCTACAATTTTTCAAAAATGGCCAAAAACGCTGTTTTTTCCTGCACCCCTAGACACAAATACACCCCCTGCTCCAAGGGCACATGCGATCAACTTGGCATAAGGCTCATTCGAAAGGGCACAATTTTACCTTTAATTTCTGACATATGCAAAGTTTGTAGCACGTTAGGGTTCGGCTCTACAATTTTTCGAAAATGTCCAAAAACGCTGTTTTTAGGGGTTTCAACCCCTTTTTTCTCGAAAACGTGACGTGATGGGAAGTTTTGGACCCCAGATTCGTGTTCAGCACGAAAAATCCGTTCGGAAACACCAGGTCCCGTCTTATTCGCAAAACCCTTGTAGACCAGTGTTATTTATTTAGCCATTTTTTTCATAGTGACTACATTTTATAGATCCGCCAAAAGCCCAGAAAATGCAATGACGGGATAAATAAAAAAATTTTTTAGTATTAAAAAATGTTTAAATAAACAATTGGGCATTATTATTGAAAGCCTCTTGAAGAACCAGAGTTTTCCGATCGAAAAATATTGACTTTTGAATTCTTTACCATCTCTACGAAAAAATTTATTTTCCCATATAAAAATACATGGAAAACTTTGAGCAACTTCCAAATATTTTTCAGTTTCAAAATAAAAAATAGGGGTATATATTTTCGATACAGAAAAATCATCAAATGCCCACCCTAGTGCGCTATACCGAGTGGCACATTTAAAATTTGAGTGAAAGCAATAGAAACTATCGTTCTGAATGCTGTTCATATAGTAAAAGCCGTTTGCCTTCTACGCAACATTGTAATTGATATGGAAAAGGAAGACGATTTTCACAATAATTTTGAACAAAATTCAAAATTTAGGAATACAAACGGCAACTTAGGAGCTTCCGGAAAAAATAATCACCCACCACGGGAAGCAGAAATTAAACGTTCTATATTTGGCGACTACTTTTCAGTAAATAAAATATAAAAATTAAATATTATTTAATTTGAATTCAACATTGTTTACAATAAACAACACAAAATAATTCAAATTTGTTTACCTACTTGGAACCCCAACATTTTTGTAACAACTTCGTTCCATTCCTCTTCCGCACTTCGCCTGTCTTTGTAGCGGCAATGGCTTTTATTCCACAAAACACTTCGCTTTTGTATTTCTGAAATGAGAATTTCCATCTTCATTGCTGAATTTCTCGTACGATATTGCGGGCAAAATCAAACGACTTTGACGTCACAATGCACGCATTATCGCAAAATCGTGCCTACGTTGGACGTTTGCATTTGCCAACATATCTGTGCGTTTTTTTGATCTGCTTGCATTAAACGCACCGCAACACATTCACCGCATTTCTCGTGTCTACGCTGCACACGGCGTAGCTGTTATAAAATCCAAAGGCAATTAATTTAAAGAGAGCAAAAGACGGAAAAGTAAGAGCATGCTTTTAGGCGTTTAACAGAGCAAGGCAATAGAGAAGCAATTTTCGAGGACAATACTCAATTGTGAGCACTCGGCGTACCGTCAAGAGCGCACAAGCCCTAATACATCCGAGTCGCTAATTCGAAAATTTGTGCTCGTGTCAAGAGCGGATATTGTAAATGCTTACAAAGTGCAATACAGAAAATAGCAGAATGACAGGAAATGGGAAAGCAGCAGCAGCAGCAGCAGCGTCAACTTGAGTTTATGACATCGGCAATCGGAACGATGTTTCAATGCAAATGAATGACGATGAATTGTATGTATGTATGTATGTAAGTAGAGTGTGTAGAGTGGCGCAGTATATGCCGACGCTGATGCCATTGCCGATGTTGCTGCAGTTGCAGTTGCAGCGAGATAGGTGGCTGGAAATTGCAATAGTAACAACAATTACTAAATAATTATGATCATCATAAAAAGCTGTGCCGCAGCACGTTGACAATCGAACAGAAATAAGTCAACGTTCGAATATGTCGGGTCATTGTGCCTGCATTTGTGTGTGTGCGTTGCCATAAGACAGCCAGCCAGCCGGTCGATTTAACGGTGTTTGTTGCTGGTTGCGTTTACGTGTGTGTGTGTGTGTGTGTGTGTGTGAGTGTACGCGCAGCAACTTAAAGAATCTAAGTAAGAAGTAAATTATGACACGAAATGTGCGCTTATTTGGTTAATGCAACCTCCTGTGGATGCTGTAGGTACTGATTGCAGAATATGGCGATTTTTATTGAATATGGTTTTGCATATGCCCTGGCGTATGAGCAACTTTTGCTTTAGCTTCCAATACCTTATGTTGAAGCATCTTTTTAACTTCAAGAAGCTTTAAAATTAATATAGAAAATTTAAAAATTGCTATTAAAATGCTTGAAAAGACACACATATATGACAATTATATCCACTGACACAAACTCTGCATACGACCTGCTCATAACCGGAGTTAGCTACTGGGGCTGTCAGCAAAGTACCGCTACAGTAGCACAGCAGCACAACAGTTAAAAAAAAAAAAAAAAAAAAAAAAAAAAACCTACACTATTGTAAGCATAAAAGGAAATTCGAAATTCGCAGACAGGTCTGCGCTGTTTTTTCTCATTTAATTTTTTTTTTTCATAGCTGCAACGCCATCATTGTCGTAGTCCTTCGTGCCTACATGGATGTACAAATATTGCGTTTGTTTGTGCAGTTGTTGTCGTGTGTCGGCGCGGTCGTTGTTGCCATCGTTGAGCTGGTCGTTGCCGTTGCCGTTGCCGTTGCCATTACTGGTGGCGTTACAGTGGTGGTCGTAATGGCCAAAGCATCGTAGTCGTTAGTCGTTATAGTCTCGTAATAGTTGTCGCTATTGCATGCACTTGCTGTTCTTGTTGTTGTTTTTACTATTGTTTTGCTGTGGCATTCGTGCAGCATTCATTCGCTCATTGATTGCTGTATGAGTAAAAGCGAAACAAAAAAAATTAAATAAAAAGCAAAAGAGACTCTAAAAAAAGAAAGAACAAAAAAATAATAAATAGTAAGCATCGGCTTGCCAACGTTTTCGGTGATCGGCAAAAAACTTGCGATTCTTGTTTGCCGGTAGCTTTTTCATTGCACTCGCATAGTTTCCGGGCTGCTGCATTGTCGCAAGGGTAACAGTATCAACAAGAACAACAACGAGAACATTCTGCGCATAAACAACTAATATTTAAAGGCACACTTTAAGGCGCTCGAACAGTCATAGTATTTTTAAACGAGTGCACAATCAATTTCCGAATAGTAGCAGCAGTAGCGGCGATTTGTGATGCTGGAGATGACATTAAAAAATGCTCTTGTTCTTAAAATACTCGCTCAATTTATGTCTGCCTAACACTCTTTTTTCGCTCTTGTACGACAAAAATGTAGACGTTTTACGGCTCTCTCTCTCTCTGTCTCTCGTGGAAACTGCACATAAAATACGAGCGTGAAATTTCATTATATTTCTTGTACTAGCGAAACTCAAGTGGCAGTAGTACTACGACAACAGCAGCAACAACAAAAATTTCCGAAAACAGACAAGTTCATAACGTACATGCATATGTAAATAAATATCTACAAAAAAAAATGCAACAAGAAAGTAAACAAGTCACACAAAAAATCATTCATTTTCCCCAACAAAACAGACATTTGCCGTTGCTTTTGTTGCTGAAGCTGCTTCGTTGACTTTATTTCCCCCATCTACTATTCAACGGCACATATTATGCAGGCTGTGCTCCTAGCGCGGAAGCGTCTTCGAAAAGCATTATAGTTTCTAGGCACTTTAATAACAGAAGAATGTTTAGCTCAGCTGTTTATTTAAAAAAATATATATATTACATTGAATTTTTTTTTTCTTTAAATATTTACTTATGGGTCTTTCCATATGAAATCGTCTAATTGGAGTCGCGGACCGATTTTAGATTTTACTGTAACTTAGAGGGACTCTTCTTTAGGGTCTACTATATATAAATATGAAACTTACGGAATCTGTAGCTACGGAAAAATTTGAAATCCGTTAGCGACGATTTTTTTTTTGTTTTCAGACGTTTTTATACGAAATGATTCTTATATGTAAATGTGAATAAAGCAGCTGTCTTGATGTCTAAAATTTATATTAACATAAAAGTAGTGTACCACTTTTGATACGAGTTTACCAGTTTAGCGATAATCTACCTGTGGCAGTAAAATCCAATCGTCGAACACACTTTGTATGGAAGAAAACTGACACCGTCAACAAAAAAAAAAAAAATTGTCAAAAATCAACGGGAAGTCCTAGCTACTTAAAACTTGCACTTGCTTTTGTACTAAAATTTAAATAGCAACAAAAAAAAAATTATAATTTAAAATTTTTATTTTTGCGAGCGAGAAATTCTGCCACAGCTGCTTTTGTGACCGACAACAAAATACCGTATTGCACCGATAGAAAAAAAAATGTTGTTTTATTTGACACAGTCTCATATTAACATGTAAATATTTAAATAAACTTTCCCCTAGCTCCCCCATGGGTTCGTGCCTAGATTCACCTGATCTAAATTTTCAGACCCGAAATCGAAGGCAAATAAGTTTCTTAAGGTTCTTTGAATGAGACGAGAAGACACTGATAAGTCTAAAACCTTTGCCAGAAGCGAGAGAGATTTTGGGCGACATACATATGTACATACTAAGCTTAACGAAAGCTGTTAAGGTAAGGATTTGCGATTCTTGCTGCTAAAATTCGATGGTACGCACTTTACGTATACGACCTGGCGGATTGGTGCTGAATAATTAAATCAAAGTGTCATTTAAAATGAAAGTGTTAACATATCATAACAACATATCAATAAAATCACACTGTTTCAGTTACTTATAGCCAGTTTCATATAAGCAATTTAAGTGAAAAATTATTTTTTTATTTGAATTTAATATGAAAATCGACTGGAAAAAAATATTTTTTTAATTAAATTATTCCACGTTAAAGAAGTTTCGCAGATCTGAACCACAGTTTTTCACAAGTTACTTAAAAATTACAAACCAATATTTTTAAACCTTAACGAGCTTAAAGTGTGACAATGTGTTTAAACATGTCGGAAAGTAACAAAGTAACTTGTGACTACTAACATTAGCGGCACTGAGCCTCAGAGATTACTCTCATCGTCTACGGCTGTGGGAAAGGATGGGAACACCCTTGGAGAAAGTGTATTTTAGCGGAAAACTTGAAATTTTGTTTTAGCAAAAGCAATTCCAGCTGACTTCTGGCGCAGAGTATTCAAAAATTAGTCAATGGAGCTTCCATACTCTCCTTGCTCAGTGAAAATAAGTGAAGGGTTAACAACTCAATGTTTCGTGCAATGTCGCTTTGGCCTGCGACCTATATCAACATAATTAGAAAGTATTCCGACGAAATCAAAAGCTAGCTAAAATATTTGACAACCAAATGTGAGCACACATAAAGATACATTGGAGATGCCATAGCCTTAACTTTTTCAAATAATTCCGAGCTGCCTATGATATGGCGAAGAATCATAACTAAATTGATACCTAGAATTATGGTTATGGCCTTATGGTATAGAACCAACAATCTTTTCAGAGCTGCCCATACGTTTGATCAGAAAAGCTGATTGCTATAGTTATGTTTATGGCTATGGTAGTTATGGCCCCAGCGGTTGGTTCTTAAGGTACTCATTGCCACCTTTCAGCTAGAATAGTTGTTTAAGCGCTGCTTCTGTATGATAAAGAAAAATGACCTGGAAGCATGAATTAGAGATCCATAGTGAATTTTCAACATAAGACCTCCACCGATCCTTTCATGAAGCTCTGCCGTGTCCGTAATTGACTAATACTTCTTCTTTTCAGAATCAGCTGCAGCAAATTTATCTTCAGCAAAAAATTGACATTAATAAACAATACTAAGCAAAGCTCTAAGAATTATTTTAGAAGTGGTCGAAAGTACTCCACTGATGCTACTCTCGAGTTGCCTAACAAATGTAAGCTTCTTCCTAAGTCGAAAGCGGCTTTGACCATTAAAAGCGTTTGAAAGGCGAAATTTCAGGCCAAATTTTTAGAGAAAACTGTTCTGTGATTCGTCGCTCGTGCAAAAAGTTATATTGATTTGAAATTGAGTGAAATGCCTTTGTTTATAGAATAAAGACATACCTAAGAAATTGTGAGGTGTGCTGTGAGAATGCTTTGAGTGAACGCCGTACCCAGGAGTGGTTTGCTCGATTCCGATACAAAACTCCATTGCTGATAAAGAATTGGCCGACTGAAGAGCCGCTGAAAATCACTTGGCCAATAAGTCGATAGCCCACAGAAGTTCCACGCCCGAGAATTGGTAAAACGTCATAAACAATAATGGCAAAAATGTACTTGGTTTCGAATAATTTTTATTTTTTCAAAAATTTACCCAAAAATCATTTTTATATAACTCAAAACATATAGGTATATACATAAGTAGCGTATATATTTGTACAGACTGTAATTTTTAAACTTTATTACTTAAGGTGGTAAAATTGAATGTCTTCATAAATTATGTATGAAAAAAGAAATTTTCCGATATCAAACGCTGGTGGCGGCACAGACTGATAATCACTTAAAAAAAAAAGAAAACCTGTCTGCCTCGAAATGTCATTTCAACTGATTAGCTTCATTGACTACGAAACCGCAAACTAGGTGTTTTATTAAAAAATTCCGCTGAGCCATTACAAAACCAAGAACAATTTCTACGCCACACACCACAACGAATGCCAATAAGAGTACATAAAAAAAAAAATTCAGCAGACTAAGCACAGAGTACGCTAAAAGAGCTGCAATGCAAGAAAGAACAGGACAAAAGGAAATTTAAAACAAAATTTAAAAATGATTACAAAAAAAGTACGACATATGTACGAGCGTGAAGAAGAAGTTTTACTACGACGAGTACTTAACAGCAAGATAGTAAATATGTGTTAATATGTACATATACATATATGTATGTATAAATACGTGTAAACATATGCTACAATGAATTAAAATAAATAAGACCGCTTTTCTGTACAAGTAAATATGGTTCATGATGTGTTGAAGTGCATAAGTTAAACAGAGCAAATGGTGCAAAAAACTACTATCAAATAGGGCAACAAACTCAAATAAAATAAAATGTAAATGTAATATATGTATGTAGAGACAAAAACAAATATATAAATACTCAACAAAAAAAAAAAAAAACTTTAGTTGCTGCGGTGCTTTAGTGCAGCTTTCAGTGGCAAACAACGAGTATATTTACAGTAAGTGAAAGAAGCTGAGACGAACTGACTAGGGAATGCATGTACGAACCGATGTAGAATAGAAATTATCTACATACTTACATACTCATGTACATACATACGTATGTACATCCTTTGCCTAGGCTCTTCTTCTCTTCATACGGCAGCAGAGGCAATGAGGCAAACAGCAAATGAAGCAAATACCCCTATCGCACCAGCATGCTGCTCGGTAAATAGTGCAATATTCTGTTATGGTTATGATGCACACTCATCTAGATACATACATACATAACCACATTAAAGAAAGTCAGCGTAGTTATAGTGAAAATGAGTATAGTCAAAGAATTAAAACCAATATATGCCGCAGGCACTTTTTGCTCCACACTTTTGCTGCATTATTGCTGATGATGCCAGAGAGAGTGCTGTTGATGATAATGATGCTAATATGCATTCTCGAATTGCTGTTGAAAGTCGAGCTCAATGAATGACATCTATTTTGCATATATGTATATAAGCATAAAAAAAACCGCATGAAAATAGTAGAGTACGATACAAAGGCAAAAGTAATTATACTTATGTATACATATATGTAAATGTCTTATCAAGGAGCGCAATGCTTATGAAGAACTCAATCCTGGTGCCTATGAATGAACCTTTAACGCATAGTAATATTGGCAAATCACATCCATTGAGAGAGTCGAGACAAACGGGAGTTCGACATACTCAGTGGTGCAGCAGGTCGATGCAATCGGACGACCACCACGTCACTTCACTTCTCACTTAACGGTTTTTAGTAATAACTCGACTCCAAAGGTAACCCTTTTTTAATAGTATTGCCTTTACCATTACCAATACGCATCCCAAATATGAGCCAAATAGCATCATATTTAAATATGATTTTTTAGAGATAGCTCGACTCCTGATCCACTTGGCTGGCAAATTTTATTCACTGGAAATCCCTTTACGATACCGATCATAATAAAATGTTTAGTAATAACTCGACTCCAGCTCCACCTGGCAGGTAAAATTGGGAGCTTAAAATATCCAGAGGCCCCCTCAAACACATGCAACGCAGAGATGCTTATCGTCCTCCGAAATCGGACTATGAATAAGATTGTTATTAATTAATCAATTCCAGTGCCACTTATCGGGGGTTTTTCTAAGTAAAATTTTTTCTTGGGCAAAGACAAACAACCTCGGTGTTCCACACCCAGAGCTCCTGAATGTGCGCGATTTCGAAATCTTCCTCCACCAGGAAGACGGAGAGGCTGTACGTAGTCAGCCTCGAGTGCTGGGGGTTTATCTGGACAACCTTCAGACCAGGATGTCACTGGCGGAGATGAGCTTAAGCCTCAAACCCTACCAAGCATCACTGATGCTCACCACGCCCTTGTTGGAAACCCCATCTGCAGGCTTTCACTTGCCAGCGCACTGAAGCCACGCCCTGACCCCGTTACAGTAGCTGACTTAATGGTCAGCAGAATACCTCCCATTTTTTAGGCTCTTTCGACCTCCTTTCCCGCATCTTTGTGTTTGGTGGCCTAGTGCAAGCGGTACTCAACCACCACCGCCTGGACACAAATTTTGTCTTCGGCGTCCTTCGGTTGCACGATTCCTTTAGCCTCATTCTGCTCTATCCTACCGAGGATAGATAGAGCCGGCCGATATCGCTTTTCCCGAAGTGCCTTTTTGGCGCCGAAGTTTTCGTATTTGGCTGCCCCTTGACAGCTGTAGAAAATTGTTGATTAAATGAAGGAGTACTGCGCCCCATACCTGGCATCAAAGTCTCCTCACTGTATGGAAGGAACTCCTCCTCCTTGGACAGGATCGGACTACCCAGTAGAGGTCTGTCCGTGCAGTCCTTGTTGGTCATGTTACGGGTAAGTGAGTATTTGTCATCCTGTATTTTCTTATCCGAGGCCATGTCTGTGGAGTCCTTGTTTGTCGTGTTTCTTAGGGGTGAGTGACAAACACCAGCCAGTGTCCAATAGGAACCCAGCAGAAACAGCGCCGGGATGTACTGAAGCCGATTTGGCCTGGCACAGCGACCTAGCGGGTAGAAAGGTGAAAAGGTCCGTCCTACTCACTGAGGCGACCCGGTATTAGTAAGGCACCGTAGAAATAGAGTCCGTTACCCCCGACTGCAAACGTCGCCCAATAGGCACGGTCCGCTTAACACCCTGGCTTTAAGGAAACCTCCGGACCATAATCAATAATAGTCATTTTTGGTTTTTATTTTTTTCGATCAATTTGTGATCGTTATTTTTTATATATTTTTATATTTTTCAAGCATATTGTACCAGTAATTTTTTAATATTTAATTTTGTAGTTCATAAACAATTTTAATCGGTTACATAAGGAGACTGCGACCATGATCGCTGTTGCCCACATACATATTTTCATATTTTTCGTGAAAAGTGTACAAATTTGTCGTTAAAGTGTTGAGGAGGTTTACTCGTGAAAATGTGAGCCTGGCTAGCACTGAATCTCAATTTATTTTCAGTACAGTTTTACTTGTTTCAAAATATTCAAGCAAGAATAAAGAGTTATTAAATTTCGTTAGACAAAATAAAAATGAAGTTTGAGGTAATCGACAGTGGGCAAAATAGGCATTGCTCCAAGCTTTCACTATGCATAAACATACATATGTATATGCATTTGTTCTAAGGACTGGCTCTTGTCTTGTCTGGGGTCACCTGTACTTTTCGCTTTGAAGTTAGCGCAGTTATGAGTGTAAAATAAACGTAAATGCGGTTAGAATCCTATTTATGTACATATTTGTATTTTTTTAGTGTAAGCGTTTGCACTGTTTATGCCTGTCCAAATGCTTAGATATTTAAAAGGGCGCACACATTGTATAAATATTGAAAGTGCATTTCAGGCGGCTATTTACTTGCCGCAGTTGTAGGCTACACCTCTTTGTTTGCATTGCAGTATGAAGGATATGTGTGTTCATATGTGTGCATAACTCAATTTTACACTCTTAGAGGCTACTGTTCGCCTCACATTTATACCACTTAGTGCCTTTAGTTGCATATTCATAAGCCAAACTAACTTTTTCACATCTGTTGAATATGTACATAGATTTACAACCAGAGCTGCATATGAAAGTGTTTTGATGCTGTGCATGTAGATAACCGATGTACCAATGGGAAAAATAGTAATGCATTACATGCTTGATAAATAATGCAATGTATTTCCTATGAGTTCTAGATTCTATTACAGCATTTTAATATATTCATTACTGGTAATGCTAAATTGAATGCCCCACTTTTCTTAGGACATCGCTGTGGGAAAGATAATGCTTTTTCCAACGTGAAAACGGCTGATTATTTTTTCGATTACCATACATTACATTTTCCCACTGGGTAAGTAGAAATATATATATTTGATACACATACATATGTACATACATGTGTCTGGAGCTCCTCTGTTGCTTTGACTTTTACTTAAGCTTTAATTCGCTTTTACTTGAGTTTGTTCTAAACTTGAAAACTATTGCTGTAATTAAAATGCTTGCATTTGCATGTGCACAAATTCATTTGTATGTGTGTGTATGATTCTGATCATCGTAACGTTTGTTTTCTGTCTGGATTGCTGTGCTTACGTGTGTAGTTGCTATGTAAATTGAAGTAGGGTTTCTTCTATAAAGGACTCTAAACGACAGTTTTATTTTATAATTAATTGTTTTATTTTTAATTACGGTTATCTATCACATTTTCTTTAAAGGGCCTATCAAAATAAAGAAAAGTTAATTTACCTCTGAATGTTAACTATAATGGTTCATTTCCACCAAGCCTTACCTGCAATTAAGGTCCAAAAGAAAAATTATATTACACCTCGAAGGAGGAAATGCCTCATATTGAGTACAAGCAAATGGAGGTAAAGAAGCAAAAAGTGATAAGTGATAACTTTTGCGATCACCCCATGATCAAATGCTTGAAACTTACCTAGGGAGCCTTACTGCAGTTAAGTTGTTGGTGGCAATGAGCTATTAGTATCGCTGAAACTCGATTTACGGGTAAATCAATTGAAAAATAGGACTGAACAAAAATTTCGAATTGCATTTGTTGTTATTGCAAAAAACCAAACTATGAGGTACTCTTTGGGAAATATGCTGTTATGACTAGTTCAAACATATGTTAAGCATGGAGCTTTAAGATAGATGGTAATCATACTTTCTAATAAGAATTGAATTATGCCGAAGTGACCGGGATTATTCGAAATGCCGCCATCAATCCATTTGGGGGTTTTTTCTACTAATTACATATATAGATATCATCACTTCGCCACTATTTTGCAATAAATTTTTATTTAGTTATTAGATCCAGACGGAGAAGTATAGCAAATAGTAAATATCATACATACACTTAAGTATCGCTGGGCGAAGGGCGATTTTTATTAAGGAGAGTTTTTCTATAATTTTTGCTCGAACCAAAGATCGAACCTGGGTTCCACCAAGTGCTAGTACGCATCTCTGACTATTCGGTTGTGGATGTGGCCAAGAGATGTGGTTATCGAGGTTATACACTCGGCGACAAATGAAAGTGCATCTATACCTTATTCTAATGTAATATTCGCAATTATTTTAATCAAAACAACCACAAAGCTCATTTTATAGATTTTTTGTTGCTGATTTTCTAACACGTCCAGTTTTTGAGAAAAAAATTTTGAATTCTCACAAAATGGCAAAAATGGCAAATTCAAATTTTTTTTAATATACGTTTTAATGAAAAACCAATTCGTCTGATGGACACTACATCATCTCGATGAGTTAAATAGAAATAAGTGAAAAATATAAAAACTCGATTATTCAATAGCATATACTTGTTTTTCCACATATATGAAAATCTCAATCTACGAAATTATTTTAAAAACAAACCGATTTCATGAAAAAATCCACATTACAAGACCAATATCCCAGATTCATCATTAGCCGGCCTTTTGTCTCTTAGCACTTTACGCGTTCTGGAATGAAATCCTCAAATATTTTTTTTATTGTGGATCGCATTATCATGGCTTTTCTATGGCCAGCAATAATCAACAATCATCTGGAGGTTTGATTTCCTATCATACCACTTCTCCATAATGGCAATGTTCTGGTAGAATCGTTCGCCATGTTCTTCGCTAGCGTTTTTTTCTATTAAGTTTTTTTTTATTAATTTTTCACCTCTTTCTACTCAATCCATCGATATGAGATAGAAGCCATCAGACGAATTGAATTTTTATTATTGCATGTTTTTTTCTTCGGAAAAACTAGTTAAAATTCTATTTTTAGTTTTTTTTTACAAATTTGCTATTTTTCTCATTTTTCGATAATTCTACAGTGTTTTTCTCAAAAACTGGACGTGCTAGACAAATTTTGTAAATGTACTTCAAAATCAGCATTATTATTTATTAATCTCGCATTTAAGATAATCAGATTAATAAACATCTAAGACAAGCTTTTGTTTATAGAATCGATACTTATGTATGTACAAGTAACTCCTGAGACTCCAGAACATTGTACGAAGATTCCTTTGTTGGCGCACAGTGTACATGCATATATATAACCACGAATGTATGCATGTGCTTAATGCAAAGGAATTTATAGGAATTTAAAAATATGCGTAGGAGTTACACTAAGCACCGTGCGTCTTAATACATATGGACATACATATGTACATATATATGTACATATATGGTTCACGTATATCAATTCCGTCAGCGCCTTTTCTTTGCGTGTCATAAACCAATAAACGAGCACACATGCTCATAATTTTCATTAAGTACGCTCACTTATTTAATTTATGCAAAAACCGTTTTACTAATTAAAGAATTGAGCAACTTTAGCGCAGTTCGTTTTGGAAATATCTCTCGCTTCTTTCCGCAGAAAGTTTTTAAAAAGTTTAATTTTTTCTTGATTATTAATAGCACACTTGTGAAAACACTCATGCATAGATAGTTAAGCACTAGTTGCGCATACATTAATGCTTAAATTTTTATTATTATTATTTTTTTTTGTTTCTTGTTAACTCCTCACGTACATAATAAATACAAAAAAAAAAAGTTTGTATGCACATATGGGCACGTTAATATTAACAGGCATATGAATGGCAGCTAATGCGCAACTCACACGCACTTGTACATATGCATGTACATTAGGGTGGTACAAAAAAAATATAAGCAAGGGATTTTTCTTAATTGGAAAAAACAATACCCGTATTTTTTTGAAAAAAAAAATATATATATTTAAAACTGCCTTAAACGCCATGAGATTTTCCATGTATTTTATATTGGGGAAAAACACGTTTTCCTAGAAATGGTATAGAATTCTTGCAAATCAATATTTTACGATCGGAAAACTCTGTTTCTCTTTAGGAGACTTCGAATAACAGTAACCAACTGTTTACTTAACCATTGTTTAATAGTAACAAGCATTAATGGCTCAAAAAGAAAAAATACAAAAAATGCAATAAATATTTAGTATTAAAAAATGTTGATATTTAAGAATTCTATAAAACCTATACGAAAGCATGTTTTCCCTAATTTAAAATACATGGACAACTTCATGGGCTTTGCGGCAGTTCTAAATATTATTCATTGTTTTTATAATATATATATTTTTTTAACAAAAATTGGTATTATTTTTTCCATTAAGAAAAATCATAGTTGTGAAACTTAACATTTTAAACCTTTTTGACCACCCTAATGTACTTAAAAATATATAAACTAAGTTTTATAAGGAGTATGAACAGCGCGCCAACACTGAAAGCGCTAAGCGATGACTAGCTCTGGCACACTCTGGAGTCACCGCTACCTCTCCGTTTTCACCTTTTCGACGACTTTCATGTGAATGTGGGTGTATGTGCAGTTGGAATGTCAACATTCTGCTGGTGCTGTGCTGTTGTTGTCAGTGCCGACAGTGATGTCAGTATGGCCATG